GGGGGGGGGGGTGTTAAGTTTTTTTTTCTTTTTTTCTTTTATTAACATAAAACTGCAGTGGCCCTGAGGTGGTTTGGCTTAATGAAATTCCTTTTTTTCAAATGTAATTCTGTTTTTTTCCCCAAATGTGATTCCAGCTACTTCCACTTTGGCCACTTCTGCTTTGGCTTAATGTAATTCTGTTTTTTCAAATGTGATTCCTTTTTTTTATTCAAATGTGATTCCTTTTTTTTATTCAAATATGATTCCGGCCACTTCCGCTTCTGCCATTTCAACCACTTCTGCTTCAGCCACTTCCGCTTTGGCTTAAAGTAATTCTGTTTTTTTTTCAAATGTAATTCTGTTTTTTCAAATGTTGTTCATTTACACCTCAGGGCCACCGTAGTAAACAGTCGCCGATTTACATCCAGTAGCTAGTTTCTGAAAGTTTCTTAAAACGGTCCAGTGGTTCATGAAATATTTTGCTAACTGTTTTGTTGTGAAAAACTTGATTTTAGTTTAACAGTTTGTGCGAATATTCTTTGACGATCATCATGTTTATTCATTAAACACCTGTGATTTATATTAGACTGTAAAGAAAAATATATTTCAGGATGAGTAAAACTTTATCCACCACCTCACAGAATAAGTTTAAAGGCTCAAACTTTTTTTTTTTTTGTTCCAATCAGCTGAATAATTTTGCATTTCTGGTAAACTTGAGTGAGAAAGATGTTAAAAAAAAAAAATCAGTCTTCATAGCTGTAAAATATTAATACTGCTTTTTATCAGATTCTCAATTTTTATGTTTATCAATTTTCTCTGATCGGAGAGAAATGACTTTAAAAAAAATCCAAGTTCTACTTCCTGAAAAAGTTTGACAAAATAAGAAAAGGCAGAAAAACACCCTGAAATAATCAACTTTAAACGCCGTTTCAGAATTCCTCCAAAACCAACTGCAGATTTATTACTTGTTTATGGCATTTCTGTGGCAGAATTAAAAAGATATTATGAAGCAAGTTACTTTAAAAAAATGAAAACTAAATGCTCATTCTGTCACAAACAGGTTTAGTAAGAGAACTAGGAGAAAAACCACAAACAAGCATTTAAATTCATTGACTCAAATAAAACTTATCAACAAGTTACGTTTGTTTATGACTCACTAAAACAAGATTCTCTCACAGCTTTTTAACTCAAACTGCGAGGTTTAATGTACAGTACGCACATAAAACAAAACTATAACATTAACTTGGGATGTTGTTTTTACTTGCCCTTCTGAAGACGTTTAAAACTGCAGCTGAGAAAAGAAACTGTTTAACGTCGTGTTGCTTGAAGTCATTTTAAACCACAATGATCCAAATCATTTCTAAGGTAACTGAGTAGTTATTGGTTTATGAACGTGGCCTAATAATACTTTTTTTACTGACTTCCACTCTTGACCGACAGACAAAATAGTAAAATAAAGCAACTTAATGAAAGAAAAACAAGAGTGCGAGAAATTTATTCGCAGTTTTTGAAACTTCCTGTTCTTGGAGTATCATTTTTTCCAATCTGACGAACTTGAATCCATATTTGCACTATTGTGATCCATTTTTTCTTCTGTACATTTATCGACCTCTTTCTCGTTCCACAATTTGTGCTATTTCAACCAATCATATATCAAAACATTCAACTCGTTCAGGAGAAGGGTGCTTTGACTTTTGGTATTGGTGCAACTTTAGCTTTTTGAAATATTTAGCCTTTTCTGCCATTTGTTCTCATATTAAATGAATTGAACTCATTTGACATCCTTCAAATCTTTAGCTGTTTACAACCTTTTAATTCTCCTTTCACATTTTGTTCTGGTTCAGCTTCTTTCAGCTTCCTTGTGCAAATTTAAAAACTTTTTTCAGCTACTTTCAGCCGTTTTGCGATCCTTTTAGATTCTTTCGGCTAACTAGAAAATTGTTGTGCTTCTTCTAACTTCTTTCTGCTAATTTCAGCTTATTTATGCAAGTTTCAGCCTTTTCTGCTATTTCAGCTACTATTTAGCCATTTTAACGCAAATTTTAGCTTCTTTTTGGGGGGATAATTCCACATTTTTTGCATTCAAACTTTCTTCAGCCTAATTCAGCAAAAATGAGCTCTCCACGTGCTTCTGATAATTTAAGCTTCTTTTTGCTGTTTTAGCTACCAGTACTTTTCAACTTTTTTCTTTGTTAATTTCAGCTTTTTTCAGATAATTTCCACCTCTTTGTGCTCATTTTTGCTTCTTTCAGCATAACTGGGCAAATGTGTTCTTTCTGCTTTCTTCTGCTAATTTAAGCTTCTTCTATTTTTTTCAGCTAGCTTTTTAGCATTTTTTAGCTAATTTCAGCTGTTTTCAGATAAATTCAAGTTTTTCGTGGTAATTTCTGCTACTTTCAGAATTAACTTCTTTATGCTAATTTCAGCATGTTATGCTCTTTTCAGCTTTTTTCTGCTAGTTTCAACTTTTTCTGCTCTTTCAGCTACTATTTAGCTCTTTTGATGTTAATTTTAGGTTTTTCAGCTAATTCCACATTTTTTAAGCTCATTTCAGTTCTTTCTACTTCCTTCTGGTAAGTTAAGCTTCTTTTGGTCTTTTCAACTACTTTTCAGCTAATTTAGCTAATTTCAGCTTTTTTTAAGCTGATTTCCTAATTTTTGTGCTCATTTCTGCCTTTTTAAACCTAATTCAGCAATTCTGTGTTCTTTCTGTTTTTTTTTTCTTCCTGCTAATTTAGGCTTGTCCTTCAATTTCAGCTATATTTGAACATGTTTTTAGCTAATTTTAGCTGTTTATCATAAAGTTCTTCAGCAATAAACTTCACACTGCATTTTCACAGGAAATGCAATTTCTCTAGTTATTAATGTTTTTCTATAAAACACTGTTGACTGATAGTGACAATATTTGCTTATCATAGTTGTTTTCTTACTGAACGTTTTCTAAGCAAACACGTCTGGAGAACCAGGAGTTCAGTTCACTGCCAGTCAAAGTGGAGATGTGGGAACGCTGCAGAGGAGCTACAATAAGCACCAGAGGTGTCGCTCCTCCTCACCTGCAGCAGTAATATCTGCTGCTGCGACTCCTGCAGCTCCTGCTCTGCTGTGTTCAGGGAGCGGTCCAGGCGGCTTCTTTCTGCAGACAGACGCATGCTGCCCTCCTCAGACTTCAGCTTCTGGCGCTCCACCTGACGTCAGAACAGTTTTCATCTCATGAACATGAACAGGTTTCAGACATTAGGTGTGCAGCTAATCTGGTCCTCGCCTTATCCAGCTTGTTCCTCAGTGCGTTCTTGTCTTTCTCCAGCCTCACGGCCTGTCTCTCTGCATCTTTTTTTTCTGTTTCCAGCAGGGCGACCGCTCTTTGCAGACTGTGGAGTCGCTCCTCGACAGCAGCCCGCTCGGTTTGGGCCGACTGGACGCTGCGCTGAGCCTCTTTGAGACTCGCTGCGCGCTGACGCAGAGCCTGAAAGAATTCAAACGAATCTAAAATCGTCCGACGTCTTTTACTTTATTGTCATTCTTCTGCAGAACTTCTTGCTTTCTGGTTTCCATGTCATGTATCAAAGCGTCTCTGACCTCGTGGGCGTTGCTGAGCTCAGACTCCAGTTCTTCTCGCCGCTGCTCGCTCTGATTCAGCTCGCCCTGCAGGTTCTGCACGCGCTCAGTGAGGGTCACCACGCTTCTCTTTAGTTCTGCTAACTCTGCTCGAGCTTCATCCATTTGTTCCTAAATGAAACAAAATAACCATCACACTAACACTCCCTTTCTTTTATCACTCGCCGCTGTATTTGTCCGTCTGTTAGCAAAATATCTCATGACTCAACTGACAGATTTTAATGAAACTTTCAGAAAATAGTCACTGCTGTGTATATCTATGACTGATTATCTTTTCCATTCAAGCTGAAACAACTAACTGACCGTGGGAAACACAGAAATGGCTACAAGTCAGTTATTTGTAGAAATATTAAGCTAAACTTTGATGTGCAAGTAGCAGAGTTATTCTCAACACTCTGAGTGCTAACAGATATCAAACAACACCAAACAACATTTTCATTGTTTGACTAAAACAGCTATAACTCCAACACTTCTCATAATGAAACAAGTTTAAAATTCAACCATGAAATGTGACGGGCGATAAGCATGGCCTTTCATTACCCCCCCGACTCACACACCTGCAGCCGCCTTTTGTCCTGTTCAGACGAACTCAGCGCTTTCTGCAAGGAAAGCAGGCGACTCTGCGTGCTGCTGTGAGATGCCGTCACCTCCTGCAAGGTCTGACTGAGAGACACGGCCTTCTCTCTGAGCGCAGAGTCGCCTTCCTGAGCTCTGAGCAGAGCCTGGCTCAGCCGGTCCACCTCTCTCTGCAGCAGGGAAACACGAGTTTCTCCCTCTGCAACCTGGAGAAAACAGACCAAAGAGAGAAATGTAACATATCACCAAGTCAAGGCTTTATGGATCAGTTTTATTTCATTAAAGTTGTAAAATGTTCCAGTCAGGCTGATTAACTCCACCTGTTTGAGCAAAGCATCATGGCGGTCCTGAGATGTCTGGCTCTCAGCCTCCCTGTCTCCCAGACTCAGTTTGAGTCTCTGCAGCTCCCCCTCCAGGCTGCGCCTCCCCAGCTCCACTCTGGTGCCTCGAGCTTCGGCTACCTCCAGCGCCTCTCGCAGACGCTTCCTCTCTGCCTCCAGACGCATCTCAGCCGCACGGTGCTTATTCAGCTGATCCTGCAGACATGGACAGAGGACAACAATCACATTTAATGTAGGTTTGGAGATTGTACAGTAAACAGCAACGGAGGTGGGTTTAAGATTTAACTTCAAATGGGACATGCAACTTGTTAATAGGTAGACATTTTCAAGGATTATTTCCCTTTATGGATAATGACCAGGTTAGTGATTGAGTTTGGTCAGCTTAGTTCAAGTCAAGTTTATTTGTAAAGCACATTTAAAACAGGAACTGTTGCCAAAGTGCATTAACAAAAGAGAGACATACATGGGGAGACTAGCTGCAGCCACTTGAGTGGTGCCACCATTTTAGATAAGGAAAGTGACAACTTGAGGAAAGGGGAGATCAGAAACGACCTCAGCAGTAGAAGCAACATAAATAGACATAAGACATATACCAGTACATTTATGCATGGGGACAACAAAGGCGGCGAGTAGTCCAAGGACACTCTAGAAAGTTCCAAAGTTCTGATATTATGGTACAGTGTCTATCAGCGTCACAATTCTGATAAGGCCACAGTGTCACGGTCAGCGGCCCCCGCTACCCCCCCATCTGCCAAGCCTCTGCCACCTCCTTCAAGCTGCAACCAGAAACCAACATTTATATCTTCAAACTATCATCCCACAGTCTTAATCATTTCCTTTTATTTCAAGTTTCTGTCTCTGTCTGCTTTTTATATTTTTTGTTGTTCTGCTTTGTGTGTGATTTTCTGTTTATCTGTTTCTGTTATGTTCCTCTCATTCCTCAGTCTGCTTCTCCACTCAGTCTTTATCATTCACACCTGTCCCTCATCAGCCACTTGCCCAGGTGCTCTCATTACTAACTCTCCCTCTGTCACATAAAAAGCCTTTCTTTCCTTCACTCCTTGTCCGGTGATTGTTCTGTGTTTAACAGACATCTCAATCCTCTTCTGCCTTGTCTGGTTTCTGTCCCCCTGATGATCTGCTCTGCATTATTTCTGATCCAACCTGCCAAAAGTAAGTTTTGCTGCACCGACAGCCTTTTGTTTTGTTGTTAAAAAATAAATTGTTTTGGTTTTTGAACTCCTGCCTCACTCATCTCTCTGCAATTGGGTTCCAACACTGAGGATCGTGACACACAGATGCCCTCGGGAGGCGAGGGGAGAGGAGGCAGAAGCTTCTAGTTCATGTATTCTCCAGGAGAAATTTGAGATAAGTTGGCCTGTCCAAAGCCAAATTCAGATAAACAACAATTGTTTGAGCCACCAGACTCTGATTTCTGTCTGCCTTCAAGTTCTGCTGGTACACTCAATGGCGAATCCAAACAGCCAGATTTGTGCTGTATGATTCGTAAAACCGTATCAAAAGCCCAAGACTGACCCGTCCCGCACATCAAGCACATTATTTTGGTCAGGCTGGGCTTGGGTTAGAAATGGCAGCTCTACCGTGTAGTGGTAGTACAAATGTGTATCAAGTTTTATTAAAATATGCTGAGCGGATTAAAAGTTATGGGAGGTACAAAAGAAAGTTTGCATCTGTAAACTTCTGTTTAGCCTTCTGCACATCTGTACAGAGGGCTACAGTATACCATAATGCCTTTCAACAGGTGTATAAAAAGAATTTGTAAAAATCCCAACCATATTAATGTTTGCATGTGGATAAGAGCTTCAACGAGCAGAAAAAGTTGGTTTGACAAAATATTTATGTTAGTGTGAAAAGATTCTGCTTTGGTTTTGCTTCAGGCCCATTTCAGAGCTTCAGCTTTAGATTCACATGTTCAAAATGATACATTTAAATCATGTTTTAAGTCGCACTTGACTCATTAATCAAACCGACCATTTTAATTGGTTTATTTCTTATTTTGTTTGAGGGCAGTGAGGTCTACGTCAGCTCCAAAGAAGCTCTAAATTTGTCGTGTTAAGCCAATTTTGTTCTGAAATAACTTGTATTTAAATATTCTCGAGTGTCCACACATTTGTTTTGGTGTCTCTGCTCCTCCTGTGGTTCATGTGAATCTGGCATTAAAATCAGACGTACAAAGAAGTGATATGCAACACCACAGGCGGTGTAACACGGTGTTTTGGGCATCTGTTGTTATTTCAGTCCCCGGCAGATTAAACTGATGAACGTGGAGCTGCCATATGGTCCCTGCTGTGTGTGAGAACACACTCAGCGGACGTACCTGAGTGTGCTTCTTGTCGGTCTCTGAGGTCTGCAGCGACCGCTCTAAATCCTTCACCCTGTCTGCGAGCGCTCTCCTCTCCCTGTCTCCCCTTCTCACCGCCTCCTCCTGCTGCTGCAGCAGAATCTGGGTGGTGGTCAGCCGCTCATCCACTCCGCGCTTCCCTGCACCCACACAGTAACGATCGTTACCACGAGTTTCAGTTTCCAAGTTCAAATCTTTCTATAAAGCCACATATCTGGATTCAGACCTTCTTGGATCTCCTGCAAGGTGTTTTGCAGCTGAGTGAGGCGACTCTGAGCAGAGTCTCGCTCCCCTTTCAGCTCCTCCAGCTCCCGCTGCACCACCCCCAGCTGGCAACGAGCATCGTCCTGCAAAAATCAGCAAAAAAAGTAAAAATTCAGTTTAATGTCAATTTTATCTATATAGCCCATTTGAAAACAACAATGTTGACCAAAGTGCTTCACAAACAGGAAATCTACCAATAAACTAAATGAAAGCTCAAACATTAAAAACAAGAAGGATAAGAACAAACTAAAACAAGAAAATAGCACACCTAAGGTGTTCTGATGGACCTCAAGATGAATTTGAATTAAAAGCAAGAGCCAGTGTAAAAAGGTAAGTGTTTAGGCAGGATTTAAAGGATTGTACGGACTCTGCAGAACAATTATCAGTGGGCAGATTGTTCCAGAGCAGAGGCGGGCAATATTTTTTATCCAAAGGGCCATATCAAGACATTTAAAGATATCAAAGGGCCGCAAGGAGAATTGGAAAATTTTCTCTATGACAGATAATCTAGAATACTTTTCTCAGGTTTTTTCCTGTTGTGGCGTAGTTAGTGTGCTTTATAAAAACATGTATTTCCAATATCCTTTAGAAATATAAGGCATTCTGTAAACTGGCTCTTGTGACATTATATTATACACCTTAGCTTAACATGTTATATATGTTGGTGAAAATATGCAAAACAAACTTATACGTTTGTGCTTCTAAGTCTTTAAGGTTCAGTCTAGCTCTGGAACCACGACGACTTAAAAATGTTTTTTTAAAAGGTTTTGTGTAAGATATTTAATTTAAATTTTCTTGTCTTGCTGATAAATGCTGTTTTTATTTTATCAGTCTATTTATATAAAAAAAGTTGTTTTCTTTTGAACTAAGGGCATTGGGGGCCTGATGGAGATTATTCAAGGGCCACTTTTGGCCCTTGGACCTTAAGTCTGGGGGCTGCTGAGGCAAAAGCCTGATCCCTTCTACACTTTAATTTTGCCCTCAGCTGCACTAAAAGCATCCAACTGGAGGATCTCAGTGCTCTGATTGGGTTGTAAAAGTGCAAATGTTCCATTAAATAACTGGGTGTCAAGCCATTTAAAACAATGAGTCAGTAAAAGAATTTTAAAATCAATATGAAAGTGAACAAACAGCCAGTGTAAATCAGCTAAAGCAGGACTGATGCGGTCCTGCCTTCTGTTAAAAGATGCTCAGCAGCATTCAGAACTAAATGCAGGTGATGTGTAAACAGAACGAAACAGTACCAAAGTTTAAAATATTTAAACCTAAGAACATTCCCGTGAAGTCACTTTGTGGGCTGCAGGTCTGTTACCCGGTCTCTCTGAGCGTCCCGCAGCTCCTGGAGGAAGTCTCTGAGGCCGCTTCGCAGCGTGTCGGAGTCCAGCTCTGGGTGAGGAAGGGGGAGCGGCGTGTCGCCTCTTTCAGGAGACGCAGCTCCGGAGCACAAGGTGTTGTCAGGGGTGCTTCCTCGAAACTCTGTTCAAATTAGATATATGGTTACATGCATGTGGCAGCACGGTGGCGCAACTGGTAGAGCTGCTGCCTCTCAGCGAGCAGGTCCCTGGTTCAAACCCCGGTCCAGGGGCCTTTCTGGGTGGAGTTTGCATGTTCTCTCCGTGCATGCGTGAGTTTTCTCCGGGTGCTCCGGTTTCCTCCCACAGACCAAAAACATGCATGTTAGGCTGATTGGTAACTCTAAATTGTCCCTAGGTGTGAGTGAGAAAGTGAATGGTTGTTTGTCTCTATGTGGCCCTGCGATGGACTTGCGACCCGTCCAGGGTGTACCCCGCCCCTCGCACAGTGATTGCTGGACATGGGCACCAGCGACCCCCGTGACCCAAAATGGAATAAGTGGGTAAAGATAATGGATGGATGGATGGTTACATGCATGAGCAGAGACATTTATTATTGTGTTGTTGAAACTCTGTTCACAGGAAAATTACAGTATTTCATTATTTATACACAAATAAAGCAGCGTTACTTCAATAACTAAACAAGCTTAAAGGAAACATTAAAACAAACAAAAAAAGCTAAATGTGTCACTTTCACCTTTAGGGAGTGTCAGTGAGGACCGAAGTGGAGAGATGCTGTGGTGGCATGACACACCGCCCGGTGACGTGGAGCTTCCTCCAGGGCTCCGCCCCCTGGGCCCTCTGCCGCTCGCTCCGATGCCCAGCGTTCTCGTCAGCGCAGACTGGAGGCTGGCGAGGCGAAACTCCAGATCCCTTCTGGCGGCCTCGGCTCGGGTCAGCTCCGCCTCGGTGGCGGCCAGTCGACCCTGCGCCTCGCTCAGCTGCAGGCTGGACTGAGCGGCTTCATCCTGGGCTGACTGAGCGCGCAGCGACAGGTTCCTGGCTTCGTCCTGGAGCTTCTTCTCACAGCCTCGCACGTCCTGCAGCTGAGCAGTCAGCTCCCTCTCACAGCTGTGCCAGGCTGACTCAGACTCCATCAAACGCTTCTGGGTCATAGAAAGCTGTGAAGGAAGGAGAACCTGTGACGCTCCACAGACTAAAAGTGTAACAAGTTAAAAATACAAGTTTCTCTGCCTCTTTCGAACCTCTTTCTTCATGGAGTCTCTGGCTGTTTCAGCTTCAGTGAGCTTCTGTCTGAAGATGAAAACCTCCTTCATCCTTTCCTCCTCTCTTTGCTCCTCCAGCGACAGACGAGTCTGCAGCTCTGCCACCTCCCTGCTCCTCTGCTCCTTCTCTCCATCCAGGACTTTCAGCTGAAAAGCAGAAACAACTGCGCCATCACTGGAACTGCACCTGCAATTAGTTGACCAAACAGACTGGAAGCAAAGATTCAAATCAAAAGCCGAGACCTGTCTGCGGAGCTCCTGCAGCTCCCGGCGAGCCTCGAGGCGTGACCTTTCAACCTCTCTCAGGCAGCTCCGCAGCTCCGTCACCTCCTTCTGAGCGGATAAGAAGTTCTCCTCCAGCACGGACAGCTTCTGCTGCTTCTCTTCACACAATCGTTTCACACTAACACAAACACGTCCGGTTACAATTAAACCCTTCCACTCTGATCATATGGTGGATTTTCTTCATTCACCTGATCCTCTCGGTTTCTGCACCTCGCAGAGCTTCTCTCAGCTGAGTGTTTGATTGGTTGAGAGCGTCTCTCTCCTTGGTGACGTCCCCGAGGCTGCGACGCAGTTCCGACCCCTCCCTCCTGTAGTTTTCCGATGAGTCCTGAGTCTGGCTCAGATGACGTTCAGCCTCCGACAGGTCTCGCCTCAAGAGGTCTCGACTCTCCTCGGCGGCTGAGAGAGAAGCTCTGCACTGCTCCAGCTGCAGGATGAAAAGTCAGGTTTGTGACCAAAAGATGAATTTAACTTGAATCAAAACAGAATCATCAAATGTACTGATGGGAGAAGTTGGGATAAAAGTAAACTGGGATCAAAATTAGCTTGTTTCTCAAAGGAAGACGAAGTTTTTGGGAATGATCCCCATTTCTGCAAAAACATGACCTAATGTGAAGAAATACCGGTAAATTTATTTTCATACAAATCTGTAGCAACTGCATGATGCAATCTTGTCAATATTCACTCAAATATCTAACGTACTTGCCGCCGTACACGTCGCACCGCCGTATAAGTCGCATCAGTCCAAATATGTCTAATAAAGTGAAAAAAAACATCAATAAATCACTTCGATGTATAAGTTGCATCTATTATGCGTCACCACTGACCACCCAGAAATGTGGGCTGGTGGTGTGCTAAAAATCGATTAGCTGCCAAATGGCAGCCGCGGGAATGTGCACAAGAGGACTTTAACAAGAATTTAACAAAATTAACACGTAAAAACAATTATTTGTTTGCTCGACATTATAGTAAAGGTGTGTCTCAGTTGCACTTTTCCTTAATAAATGCATTTTGATGGTCAAATCAGCTGCATTTCGCCTGGGCACAGTGGCAAAATGCAGCTGATCTGACGTTTGCTCCAGGAGTTCAGGAGCGAGGCGAAGGTGGCTTTGTATGGCAAGCCAAGTGTCTCATTAATAGGTAAAAGTGGCTATTAATGAGACACTTGGCTTGCCATAATGGTCGAGGGCCCTCTAGTGGCTGCAAATTAGGGATGCACAATATTGGACTTTTGTCCAATATCCGATATGTTAAAACTTATTTGGCCGATAACTGATACCAATATTTTTTTTCTAGACCTACTTACAGAGAAGAATACTACATAGCTTTCTATGCTGTGGAATTAAAATACTACATTATTTTGCATGGTATATGTCAATTTGGCCTGCTACCAAATGCAGATGCCAAAAAGGGGGCTGAAAATGATGTAACACTATATAAA